TGGAGGTGATGGAGGTGGTGGAGGTGATGGAGGTGGTGGAGGTGGTGGAGGTTGTGGAGGTGGTGGAAGTGATGGAGGTGGTGGAGGTGATGGAGGTGGTGGAAGTGATGGAGGTGATGGAAGTGATGGAGGTGGTGGAGGTGGTGGAGGTTGTGGAAGTGATGGAGGTGATGGAGGTGGTGGAGGTGATGGAGGTTGTGGAAGTGATGGAGGTTGTGGAAGTGATGGAGGTGATGGAGGTGGTGGAGGTGATGGAGGTGGTGGAAGTGATGGAGGTGGTGGAGGTGATGGAGGTGGTGGAGGTTTTATGTTTTGTATTGTGTTACATTCATGTTTTTCAGACTCATTCTGTCTCAGCCTTGAAATTAGAGACGTGTATTATTTTCATATCAGCTGTGGATCAAAGGCAGTCACCTCATTCACCTCAGTCATCTTCCAGTCAGCTTACTGCCACTAGGTGGCACAAAAAGTGTCCATGAATGAGGACAACAGGAGAGCACAGTTATTGGAGCTCAACTTATCAACAGGCACCTGGTAGCTGCACATTCTGACACCCATAATAGTGACTCAGCAGCAGAGTGCAGCCAATCACCACATGGTTACTGTGCAGCACACATGACGCAAACAGAAGCCCCGCCCACCGCCTCTCAAAGCACTCACCTTCATCACTGACCTGAGCTCACGTGTGTTCATATGACACAATTTCTGACATGGGTTCCTTTCACTTTTCAAAGTCTGGAGGTGAATCTGAGGATCACTGGAGCAGCTGTGATCTTATTCTGATTGGTCCCCATGAGGCGTAACCTTGGTGACGTAGGCACCGTCATAGCGACCACTTCCCTGTGTGAGCCACAACTTGTTCCCAAAATGTGTAAACCAGTTCCCAGACTGCATGAAGACATGTCCCAGTTTCTGTCTGACATTTACAACATGAATTATCAACACTGAAGGAATTCTGACCAGGAGAAGTTTCAGATGACTGTAATCTGTAATCTGTAATGTGTAATCTGTAATCTGTGATCCTCACTGAATCTGATACACTGGACCTTTAAATGTCAGCTGTTACATTTAGTTTTGGGTCTCTGTACCTGAGGAGGAGGAGGAGGAGGAGGAAGAGGAGGAGGAGGAGGAGGAAGAGGAGGAGGAGGAGGAAGAGGAGGAGGAGGAGGAGGAGGAAGAGGAGGAGGAGGAAGAGGAGGAGGAGGACTGTGATGTGTACAGCCCTCTTCCCGCACGCATTGATTACATCACACAGGTGACTACAGAGGAAGCAAGAGAGAAAATAAATAAATAAATGCTGTAAATAAAATATGGGCAACGAAAGTATACACGCCCGCCTCTGCGTGATTACGTCACAATACGCTGGCCGCAGAACAACGTGCTGGGATTTGTAGTTTTCACTGTACTGAGGTGTTAAGACTCTTAGGTGCTTCTATAGAAACTCATTTTCACCAGGAGAACTTTAGAAGGATGGACTGTCGAAAATGATTTGAAAGTAGAACTGGTTAAAAAAAAAAAAAAAAAAAAAAGTTTTTTATTTTCATTTATTTATTGTTTATTTTTGTGTGAAAATGATTTGAAAGTAGGGCCAGTGCAAAAAATGTTTGTTTTTTTGTTTTGTTTTGTTTTGTTTTTTCGTTTTTCTTTATTTCTATTAAAATGTATTTGACAGTAGGGCTTGTAGAAAGAAAAAGGTTATTTTATTTTAGTTACTTTTTCTATTTAAAAATTGTTTGACTGTAAGACTGGTAAAATAAATAAAATAAGCTGCTGTTAGAAGAAAATAATATTATTGATAATAACAAAATAATAACAAAGTAATAATAATAATAATAATAATAATATGATGTCTCTCCTCCTCCTCCTCCTCCTCCTCCTCCTCCGGCGGCCTCCCTCTGCTGCTAGCTGACATGCTAAGCTAACTCAGCTAGCCTCTCCCCTCGGTGTGATTAGTTGAGACGCACCGGCTCCACCAACATCACGGTGCCGTTAGGACTGAACCGACTCTCCGTTAGACGCACACACGGCCCAGACACAGCGCACACACCGCAGGGACACACCGTACAGGCGTCCGTTTATCCAACGACTGAAGATGATTAAGCTCTTTTCCCTGAAGCAGCAGAAGAAAGACGAGGAATCTGCCGGAGGAAACAGAGCAGGAGCCGGGGGGAAAAAAGCTAGCGCGGCCCAGCTCCGGATACAGAAAGGTAGGCTAGTTACCAGCACCAAGAGCCGGTGAGCTGGTCCCGCCTCACGGGTTGACCGGTTACCGATCACCCGCAGAGTAACACCACCACAAACACACACTGTACGGT